TGTGTGTGTGTGTACCTGTGTGACTCCGTGCTGCTTGGTCTCCTCTGACAGCCACAGCGACAGCACCGTGGGGTCCGACTGCTTCACACTGGGCTCATCCAGAACCATTAGGCCCAGATCATCTGGTTTCCCATCGGGTCTCGGCACCTGAACACAACACACAGACGTCAGGAAGCACAGAGAACCAGTTCAGACCAGAACCTGGTTCTGACTCGATCTGAGCTGGAGTCACTTCCTGGTGGTACCTTCAGGAAGGCGTCGATGTCTCCAACAGCCGGGATGAAGTCCGGGATGAACGGCTTCAGGGAGTGATCCAGTTCTACAGTCTGAGGGGTGTACCTGGCAGGGGACAACAGAGGACATCAGAGGACAGAGAGGACATCAGAGGACAGAGAGGACATCAGAGGACAGACATCGGAGCGGACGTGTGGCGATAAAGAAATAAAAAGTCTGCTCAGAACTTGTAGAAGTCTTCTGGTTGTCCATGTTCGTTCTGTCAGGACACTGAGCAGAGTGGCTCGCAGGAGGTTGTCCAGGTGAGGTTGTCCAGGTGAGGTTGTCCTGGGTTTACTGGTTGTTCTGGTCTGGTCTTGGACCTGTGCCGTGCCGTCACTCAGAGCAGCGTGGTGTCACATTCCATAAGTGAACACAGAGCTGCAGCTGGAAACACCTGGGGGGCTCTGACAGGTAAAACCTTTGATCCCACAGTGTTTCTCCTAGATAACCTGCCATGGCGGGGCGCTCATCTCGTCCGTGATTTTTGTCGGGGGGTGGGGTGGGGGGGGACGGAGACACATCCTGAGCTGCGTGTATATGACAGGGGAGGGAAGGGGAGACAGACACACATGTGCCGTGCGCTGTTTGTACCAACAGTTTTCTAGTGTGTGTGTGTGTGTGTGTGTGGGGGGGGGGGGGCAACGTGAAGGTTCAACATGAGAGAAGAGGCTGCCTCTAGTTTTTTAACTAGTGCACCTGCATTGTGAGCTGCTACGTAGCTTAGCGTTACGTCAGTGCTGACAGGTGGTTGGGGCGGGGGGCGCTCGGCTCTGTTGACGGGGCGGTGCGCCCCGCTTGTATAATGGTAGGGGAAACCCTGCCACTCTGAACTCCCCAGAGGATTCAGTTCATGAAGAGGAGAAACGGACTCAAACACGTCTGAACCGTGTCAGTAAAATATCAGCTCAGACATCTGAAGAGGACTGACACAAACAGCTGCTGATGTAAGGTCTGTTGCTCAGTGACTGCAGTGTGTGTGTGTGTGTGTGTGTGTGTGTGTGTGTGTGTGTGTGTGTGCGTGTGTGTGTGTGCGCGCATCCTCACCGGATGATGTGCTGGAACAGATTTTTGATCTCGGAGCTGACAGGCAGGTTGATGTAGTCTGCAGGGTTATACACTCCCTCTAGAGGCTCTGTGGGGTCATCATCATCATCATCGTCTGTATCCTCTTCATCAGAGTCATCCTCTTCCTCCTCTTCCTCCTCCTCCTCTTCATTTGGACCAGGCCTTGGCTTTGTCTCAGCTGGCTCTTTGTCTCTCGGAGGCTTTTGGTCCCCATCGAACTCGTCGCTGCTGCTGTGGGCCGACATGACACTGCGAAGCCTCAGGTTCCTGCTCGACTCTGACTGAGAGAAGAACCAATCAGAGGTCAGAACACAACGAACCAATCAGAGGTCAGAACACAACGAACCAATCAGAGGTCAGGGACATAACGAACCAATCAGAGGTCAGAACACAACGAACCAATCAGAGGTCAGAACACAACGAACCAATCAGAGGTCAGAACACAACGGACCAATCAGAGGTCAGAACACAACGGACCAATCAGAGGTCAGGGACACAACGGACCAATCAGAGGTCAGAACACAACGGACCAATCAGAGG